GAGAAAAAAAAAAAAAAAAAAAACAGATTTGGGGAGAAGGGGTTTCTTTAGTTCCAAGACAGCCAGGGCTAGTTACACAAAGAAACACTGTCTCAAAGAAAAAAATGAGAGAGAAGAGAAAGAGAAAGAGAAAGAGAAAGAGAAAGAGAGAAAGAGAAAGAGAGAATTAAATTCCTAAAGGGCAAACCAGGAAAGTTGGAGCCTGACTTTCTGAAAACAAGCACACAATCCCAAATATTCCTTTCGGAAATGAGGCTGCGATACTTGCGATACTTCATTCTGCCACTGGGTGGAGCCTTTGAGCCACACATTTGACTTCAATAACATTTCCCAAAGCAGCAGAAAAAACTTGCTAACCCTTTAAAAATAATAGTAATAATAATAACAAGAAGTACATATTACTCTGGGTGACATTCTATGGCAGGTTGAATGTACTTTCTACCTTGTGGTTCATCTGTGAGCATCCTCTCCATTCACTGGCAAGATTGTGTGTTCTATGCCTGCGTCTGTGCAACCCGTACAGCATGGAGCCTGCTGTATCTTACTGAGGACACGAGCCTGTCCCATTTACAGGGAGAATGTGCTACCCAGTGCTGGGCCCCTGTGATAGGATACCCTGGGACCATCCTCGGGGCCTGGGAGCTGCTTTGGCTCTGGTGACTGCAGCTCTCTGCAGAGCGTTGCTCATAGGGGGCTTGTCAATAGCTGTTCCAGGCAGATGCTAAGGGATGATACTGAGCTGATAAGAAGTGGGGGAAGATGTTTTCCTCTCACAGTTTCTAGAGACTTTTTGGTATGGATGTCCCTTCAGCTATGTTTCAGACAAACCCTCTATAAACTTTATGGAATACCTACTAAGCGCCTAGCACCATGTTGAGTACTGATGTGAATGGCCCTATTTGTTCCACTCTAGCATGAATGGCTGACTCACTCCAGACCACATATCCTTTATAATTCCAAGGTTCTGCCTATTTTTGTGACATGTCCCTTCTTAAATTCTATTTTATTCATTTTAGGCGTGTACATGTGCACACGCCTGCTTGTCTGTGTGTGCACCACAAGTACCCATGGAGGCCAGAAGAAGGAATTGGATTCCCTAGAACTTGAGTGACAGGCAGTTGTGAGCTGCCCTGTGTGGGTGCTAGGAACCGAACCCAGGTCCTCTGCAAGAGCAGCGAGTGCTTCTAACTGCTGAGCCATCTTTCTAAGCTCCTTTTCCTTATTTTGATGGCCCCAAATGCCCCCAGCCCGATGTGACAAAGGAACTCACATTATGTAGAGACCTGAATGAATGGCAGTTGTCTTTTCAACCAGGCAGAATTTGCACTTCCCATGAACAGTTGGTAACGTCTGAAGATACTTGCTAGTTGCTGTAGCTTAAGGGATGCTGATGGTGTCTAATGGGCCGGAGGTAAGTGGCTGCTTAGCACTCTACAAGACAGCCCTTCCACACCAAACAAGAATTCCCCAGCCTGAATGGCTAACATGCTGGGATTGAAAAATCTCTTTGCAGAGGGGAAAGAACTTCTTGTGGTCTCTGGAAGCTCGTCTTCTATGCGCTTTTCTTCTTTTCTGCCCGCAACAATACACCCTGTGCTTGTTAGCAGTCCCCACGGAACTCACAGGTGGCAACAAGGCTGGCATAGAGATATACATCCACTCTGGGACCACCTCTAGCAGGATCCAACTAGAACTGACCGTGTTTCTGCTTTCATTCCAGGTTCTGGCTGGCTGTCCAAGATCTCAAGAAGCAGCCTCTGCAGGACGTGGCCAAGAGGGTGGAGGAAATCTGGCAAGAGTTTCTAGCTCCAGGAGCCCCAAGCGCAATCAACCTGGATTCTCACAGTTATGAGATAACCAGTCAGAATGTCAAAGACGGAGGGAGATACACATTTGAAGATGCCCAGGTTTGCTCAATGACCCAAATCATCATGTCCTTAACCACTTCACAACTGACCCTTTGATACAAATCAGAGGTTTTATGACTAGTTAGAATATCAGCTTTTACTTTTGTGAGTCAGTCAGTTGAGGCTAATCTAGATAAGTACGCGGTGACATTCTGAGATCTTTCTCTTAGGTTGCGTTACTACACAGAAAGTTGCTGTTCTTTAAGTTAGGATGCTAGCTGGGACTGCATCCTGGTAAACCTGTCATGAGTTGAAACACCCTATTAAAATGCACTCAATACACATAAGAGTTTACCATTCACACAATGCTGTGAGGGACCGGCCCTTTCCCTCAGGAGCACAGGCTGACTGGGAGCTTCAGCTCACTCAGTTCCCAGCATCCAGAAAGAGCATCACACCAAACAACACTAGTCAGAGAAAGATCCAGATCTGAAATAGAGCTTCTATTGAGTGTCCGCTGCTTATGTACCGTTGTAAAGTCAAGGGAGTGTAAGTCAAACCACTATGAGTTGTGGAGCCATTTTTATTTGCCTTATCTTTTCCAGGAAAAAATATTGCACAAAATCTGTACTCTTATACAAGGTCAAGAGTAGATTCAGAACAACAATGCAACATCACTAAAGTAGAAATTGTGAGCTGGTTGGGTCAAGAGTCAAGCCCACACCGGTCCGACTGTGATGCCCACACTCTGCACTGCTTCCATGGTGACCACTCCCATGGACTTAGTATTTTCTGAGCAGCTCCATATTCCAGGCCCTGGATAATGGTGAGAGACACTGCAAAGAACAGATGAAAGTCCCTTGTCCTCAGCAAGGCCCAGGGCCAGGTGAGAGACAGACAAATAAATAGGCCATTTTAGCAGTGTGAGAAGACCCCAAAGGAGTAGGCTCTGGGGTTAAATGAAGACAGGAAGGTCTCAGCCCCACAGAGCACCATGAGGATGCTTATCGATGCTCACAGAGGGTGCGAGAGGCTTGCCCTGCCATGGGCATCCTATCCCACTTAGGATAGTCTATGCAGTTACACCAATGCAAAACAATTACATGAGGCTATTGCCCAGTGTCCCTTGTCATTTGCTCAAGATTTCAGACTGAAAGAAGCTATCTTATACCTCTTCTCTCCTCCATCATAGACTCTACTGAATGAATGCCTGTGCTGGGCAGATTTGGTTCCAAAGCAGTCAGTCGCCTCCCTGAGACATCATAAGGCCCCTGTGCTCTTTGTAATTCTGGAGGAAAATCCCTAAATCATGCGGACTCTTTTTCCCCCTGGCATAGTTTTGTATGTGTATATCCCCTCAAGGACTATATTGATGTGACTCGGTAAGAAGAGGGATGGAGATGTTCTTTGGGGACCCCCTGTGCAGATGGCCTGAAACAGGAAAGCCATCATAAGACACTGATGTCAAGCTGTGATGGTCCTAGTCTGTGTGACACTCCAAGCACAGCACAGGGAGGGTTTGCTTTAGCATTTTCTCGTGGGAACTCTTGAAAACAAACCAGAGAAAGAGCAGAAACACAAACCTTTATGAGCCTTCATCCAATGGTCATCAGTACATAACCCATCTCCTTTGAGATGCGCGCCCCACTGCGTCTTTTACCTGCTGCTGTGTGGGAAGAATACCCTCTTTAACATCGCCACAAGACCATTATCACAATTTAATAAGATGTCAATAACTCCTTAATGCCATCAGGCAAGTGTATGTACTTTTAATAGTCCTGGAAATGATTTTCGAAACACCATTTTAAATCAGATCCCAAATAAGGGCTGCACAGTACTGGAGACCAACACGGGTATTCTTTAATTATACTTTATCTTTCTCTCCCCTTCCCCGCCCCTGTGTATGTTGAATGAAGTTAGATGTTTCATCCCATGAAAGTTTCCCTCTGGAACTTTCTGGCGACAGCCCCGTGGTACTACAGCCTGTTCTTCTGCCACCCATATTTCCTATCAATCAGGTGTTTGACTTTGATATTTAATGAGATTTAGCTTTGACTTTTGTGGACTTCATTGTACTGTCCTGTCAGGAGGCAGGCAATGCAGTCTCCTTGTCGTGTGTGTGTGTGTGTGTGTGTGTGTGTGTGTGTGTGTGTGATTTTAGCCACGTTGGGTGTTTTTTGCTGAAGTCCATTCATTAATTAGGGTTGTGAAATGGTGATGTTCTCGTTTTTTTTCTCTGTCTTTCTACTTGCTGATGATCTGCAAGGCTTCCCAAAGGAGGGACTCCTCTCACCTCCTAGTTAATTAACTAGTTAGTATCACTGTTCATGTAAGAAGAGCGGAAGAATATTTGATTCTTCGTCTTTGTTGCTAGTTTCCAACTCAGTGAGTGGCTTGGCATCACCTTCATTTGGTGGCTGACTGGGGTTTTTGTTTTGTTTCCAGTGTCTTTTAAACTCATGAATTGAAACACATTTATGTGTTTCATGATCTATTTTCCTGATTTTTATTGATGCATGGGTTTTGCCATCTCTAGCCTCTTGATTCCTTCTGATATGACCCCATTAATCTTTAAGGTCATCCAAATACCACAGAGCTTCCATGGTTCTGTGTACTGTCCTTGACCTAGAAAAAGCCTTGTCTCTAAGGACCCCCCAGTTCCTCTTGGTGGCAAATGGTTCCTAGGGTCCATATTGTGGGTACTCAGTGCTCATGGTCGCTAAGTTGTTAGTCTTCTCAATATTTTTAGTGGACAAAGCTAGGAAATATATTGTAATTTGCAATAAGGACACATTTGTCTGGGCACACCTGTATCTCCAACAATTGGGAGGCTGAAGCAGGGAGATAACTAATAGTTTGAGGACAGCCCACACACCACCACCTCGTGTGTGTGTGTGTGTGTGTGTGTGTGTGTAGAAAGAGAGATCACAAGTTCATGTTGACACTTTCAGAGATTTAGAATTACAGGGGGCTTCTCCTCAATCTCTTCTTACTTCCCTCCTTCCTCAATGCTCAGAGTCTAGTCCCCAAGAACGTACAGATAAAATGTAGTTACTCATCTGCTTCATGCTACATTTCTGCAGAGCAGTCTGAGGGCCAGACAATGCAATCACTGCCTGTTTCTTTAACCGTTGCATAGCTTTCCATGATATGGAGGCACCATAGTTTGCTCAGCCACTCTTGCCCTCCTAGATGCTTGTGTTCTTCTTTATTCAAAGGGGATTTGATGAGAGAAATTGAAAAATAAATACATTGTGCCTTGATAAGATATTGAATACCCAGCCTTCATTAGTACAGTTCTACGTGATTCTTCAGGTACTTCAAACATGTTATGTCCTAGGCAAGCCTGTGAGGAAGACTAAACAAGAAGACATCTCTAAACCTAACTTCTATAAATTTATTTTATATTTTTACGCCAGTTCCCATTCCTAGCATCTTCCCTGTTGCTCCGTAAGTGTGTTTCCACATACAAATATACAGTCTCCCTAACAGCCTCACTTTGGGAATGTCACCTGATGCCCTAGAGAGCTTTATGTCAACTTGACACAAGCTAGAATCATTGGGAAGGGGGAACCTCAATTGAGAAAATGCTCTACCAGATAGACCTGTGGAACATTTTTTTTGATTGATTGATGATTGATATGGGAGGACCTAAACCATTGTGGGTGGGGTCATCTGAGGCAAATGAACCCGGGATGTATGAGGATGCAAACAAGTAAGCCACAAAGCTCCATTGTGTGTGCTTACCTCCACATTCTTGCCTTGAGTTCCTGCCCTGGCTTCCTTCAGGGCAACCTGAGAGTTGTAAGCTGAAATGAACCCTTTCTTCCCCAGGTTGTTTCACTCACGGTGTTTTATCACAGCAATAGAAATAGCAACTGAGATACGTAAATCCCCTCCTAAGTCGTCCTTCCCTCTCCTGTAGAGCAGAGATATAGCAGAACTTCGACCTCAGTTGAGAGGTGACAAAATGAAAAAAAAAAAAAAAAAAAAAAAAAAAAAAAAAAAAAAAAAGCAGGGGACCATAGTGACTGGCCCACAGAAATAAAGGAAAAGCATTTGCTATTTTGTTTTCCTAATGACATTAATGTGTTTTAGCCTTTCAGGCTGAGCACATTTGCCAAACGTTTCAGGTATTTTCATATAATAGCACACAGAGATAGATAGCCCCAATTTCAGTATATAGATGTTTCTTGACTTATTATGGGTTATGCTCCAACTCATTTGTGGTAAGTTGAAAATATCATTAAGTCAAAAGATTCCTTTAGTATACTTCACGGACCCAGTGTTAGGTTGAGCACCATGGAGGCACGGAGAGCCCTGGTGAGCATTCGGTTTTTCCCTCTTGGGCTCCCATGGCTGAGCTCTAGCTGTAGTTTGTGCCACTGCTATCCAGCATTAGGAAAGGGAGCTTGCCATGTAGCCAGCCTGGGAGAAGATCAAAGCTCAGCATATAGTTTGTATGAGATACATGTAGCTTTCTCACAACTTTGAAGTTGAAAAACTGTAAATCAAATTATCCCTTATAGCCACCCAATATCATGTAGGAGATTCCTACACTTCTTTCCTCAATGTGTTAGGTCTGCTTAGGCTGCTGTGACACAGTATCAGACTGGTGACTTATGGGAGCGTTTGCTCATCTCAGCCCTGTGCTGGCAACTCTGGAATTAAAGTGTTTGTGTGACTCTTGGTGCTGACCCTGTCCTGGCTCCTGGACAGCTGCCTTTTTGCTGTATCATCACATGCAAGTAGAGAAAGCTCTTTGGTCTCTTCGTTTATAAGAATCCCAACCCCTTCATGGGGCTCCACCCCCATGACCTCATCTAAACATCATTGTATCTCAAAGACCTCACCTCCATCCAACACCATGGTGTGGGAGACTCATGCCTTCAAGGGCATGAGTTTTGGAGGGACATAAACTTAGTCCATAACAGGGTGATTATGAAAATAAGGTAACTCTGTCTTTTACATTAAATTAGAGAGCAGTTAAAAATAAAAAACTAAACTTTTCCTGTAAGGACTAGATGATATAAACTTTAGATTTGTGGGACATATGGTCT